TCAGAAAAGCTCCAGATGATGCCATGCCTGCAGGTCTGAGGACCACACTCTGAGCAGTAAGGGCAGAGAGGATGGAGAACAGCAGGCAGGAACCAGGCATCCTGAATGTTCACCTGGGCTCTGCCCTTCAGCCTTGACACACTCACTTCCATCTCTAAGCTTCCATGTCTCTACCTGGAAATGGAACCAGAGGCACCCAACTGGTAGCACCTTGTCCCATTTCCTTTCCCCTTCAGCTCTTGAGTCTCCACCTCCCTCAGCACTGACCAGTATACCCCAGGGCCCTGTTCTAAGTGTGTYCCAACCCACCAACCTACAACAACCAGAAGGAACAGGTGCTTAAGACAGGAACAGTGACCTGCGCAGTAAGACATGGTGGGGATCAAGATTCAGAGCCACGTTGACTTCCCACAGAGTTACCTCCAGGTGGACTGTCATCCCTGGTCTGGGCTGACACCCTCACCCAACTCCCATCCTTGATTTGTCAAGCAAGGGTCTATCCCAGGCTTGCCTCCTTGCTCTGGGTGCTCCAAGCTCAATGGTACCTGCTCATCTTCCCCTATTTTCATTTCCTTTTCTTCTCTCCCAGTAGAYATTTCAAGTACCTGTGAAGGCTGGGCTGTGTACCAAGTTTCAGGATCCAGATCARCATCTATCCTGGGAAGAACCTTGGGGAAAAAAATATCTGGCCTCTGTTCCATCCCAGTTAAAAGACAGGAAGACCAAAACCCAAAAGAAAAGCAACTTTCCCAGGACCAAATACAGAGTTAGCCTCTGAGCCAGAGAAGCCTTGAGCAAGTCTCTGCCCCCTGCTCAGCTGCATCTGCCAAGCCTGGTGGTGGAAAGGCAGCTCTGATCCACGTTGGGGCATTAGTGACTGAGAAGYGCAGTTCCCAAGGGCAACATGGAGGCAGACAATGGTGAAGGCAGCCTGTGCTCCTTTCTCCCTAAAGCCTCTTTGTTCCAAAAGCCTCCTTTCCCTGAAGGTCAAGGATGAGCTCCCCACCTCAGGCTTTSACAGTCCACAGGCTATTCCCCATAAGCAGCCCTTGTCCTCATTCCTGGCCTGGCTTCATCAGTCCCTGTTGGGATCCCTCTCAGCACCCTTGGTCAATCTCCTGAGCTCCACCTGCCATCCTAATGGGCACTGGCCAGGCAAGTCCCACTTGTCACTCTCTGGTCCTACTCAATCTCCCTTTCCTCTCTCTCCCCTTCCCCTTCCTCCTCTTTATCCTGGAAGTCAGAATGAATCTGAATCCTTATAGGTATTTGCACAGCCAACCCAGATCATGGCTRTATCTGGCAAACCATTTCTCCAACATAGGGCCATATCTGATCTTTGCATGAGCCATGATACTCTGAAACTGATCTCTGGGACAAGATACCATAAATACCAGTGACCCTTCAGTGACCATCACTCTCCCTGAGCTCTTGTTTTCCCCCTACCCCTAAGGGACTGATCAAAGACCGCACTGATTTTCCTCCACCCMCATGTCAGAACAGGTATTGCCCAGCACCTCCACCATGGACCTATAAACCTCAATTAAGCCATCTAGCTATCTAAGAAGATGAGGGATCTCTTACAATATGCCTGACTCRATTATTACCCTAAATCTTAATGTGCCCCAATTTTCCACGTGCCCCAGACCCTTCACGTGCTCCAGAATTTTGATGTGTTCCAAAACTTACACACCCCAGAACCTCCACATACCCCCAAATCTGCCTGTGCCCCAGAATCTTTGTGTACCCTAGGATTTCCTCATACCCCAGAATCTCTCTGAGCCCCAGAACCTCCATATGCCCTATAACTTCTATATATCCCAGAATCACCATACAACCCAGAAGCTGTATGTATTCCAGGGCCTTTGTATTCCCTGGAATCTCTCTTCCTGAATCCCTGCATGTCGGCACAGCAAGAGCCAGGCCCAGGCAGTTGTGCAYGTGCTACTAAGGACCATGTGCAGGCAGGTATCTCAAGCAGATGTTCTGACATAACTTCCTTAACCAAGAGTGCTATGAARATGCCCTAGGCCCACACAAGACAGGCACATGGGACACTTGTAGTACTCTCCACAGGGGCCCATTCTGACACCATATCTGATACACACAGAGTTTAAGGGGGCCCTTACACAACCCCACAACCCACCCAGTATAACAGTAACAGAGTAAAGACACAGGACCCTGAAACCCCATAAAACTGGGTCACTCCACTCAGGCTACTTGGCTGTGTGTCCTGAGAACCAGTGAAGTTCTCAGGAACTGAATCAAAATAAAAATCCATTTTGGTTAGGTTCATAGGGAAACAAAGAACACAGAGGCCTGTGCATCTTTTGGTCTCAGGGACTTCCAGATGCTGAAGGATGATAAACAGCCAAACAGATGCATTTCCAAGAGAAAAGCCTTTTGTGGTCAGTCATTTTGAAATGAGATCCAGGCGCTCTCATCCTCCTCYGCAGTAACCAGATGACAGCATCAAAGGTGTCTGTGGTCGGCCTTGGACATTGGCCTTAGGAGGCTATGATATATATGATATATGGGAAATTCTGCCCCCAGTACCTTTGATCTGGGTAATTCCATCCTTACCCTTCCACTTCAGTTTCCTTATCTATAAAATGAAAAGTGGGACCAGACGATTTCCAAGACACCTCCAGTGCTAAAAAAAAAATCGATAGCCAACCACCTCCTTGAAGACTTTTAAGTCCCCAAGGCTACTTGCTACCCAGAAGTGTCCTTGGATTGACTCAGCAGAAGTAACATGACCTCAGATGTCACAGTGATGTCATTACTTTTTTTTTTAACGTGTAGATGGACACAACACAATGCCTTTATTTTTATGTGGTGCTGAAGAAGGAACCCAGGTCCTGCCCATACCAGGCAAGCGCTCTACCGCTGAGCCACAATCCCAGCCCATTACTTTCATTAATGACAAAAGGGATGGTACCAAAAAAAAATGATGGTAATATGTCCACACACAGGGACATATACACATACTAGGTGTCCTATGTTCTAGTGCTGAATGTGAGCCCTCATGAGGGACATGTGCTAGGCACAGCCCCTTATTTAAGCATAAATCTTTTCTCTTCATAATCCCATGTCCAGCACAAGAGGATTGGGAAGAATTCAATCAAATCAAACTGATCACCACAGAGCCCTCTACAGGTTGCTATAGCTGCATCCATATTGTAGTCCAAGAAACTGAGGCTTAGGGCCAGTAAGTGTCTTATGATGTTGGAATTATGATGCAGGATTTTCACCCAGACCAAGAAAGTCCGGGCAAGAGCTGGGCACCATAGTAGCTACCTGCTTAGTAGACACCTCCTAGACCCCCCATGACATGTGCAGTGCCAACAGCTTTCTGAATAATGCTTTATAATTCTTAAAGAAACACTGCAAGTCAGCACCCTCCCTGTTCAGAACTGGTCTTCATGACTGGCTGGTCAATAGGAACTATTTATTCAGGCCCTAGTCCCAGCGGTGGGCAGGCCCCCAAACTCCTACTCTGTGCAGCCTAAAGGCAGCTCAGGTCACCAATGTGTCAGGATCCAGAGCACAGATGGTCACCATTCCTGGAAGTTGGGAAACTCAGCTCTTTCCTTCCAGAGGGTAGATTGAATTTTGGTCCCACCTCTGCAAATTACTTATGACCATGAATACATTTTGCCTCTCTCTGACTTTTGCTCAGGCCAGGATAATACCAGGCAGGTCTGTGAGAGGCTGGACCTGGCCCCCACTAGGGAACCTGGCCCTTAGGCAAGGTGGACAGTGGGAACCACCAAAACAGGACAAAAAGGTAGACCTTGGAGACTGGGTCCATAAAAGACCCAGATATATTAAAGAGGAAGATTTTCATAGTTTCTTACTGCACTCCTTTTCAATTTCATGCTGGAGGTGGCCTGGAGAACCTCAGGTTCCCTCAGAATGAACTGGGGATTTTCCTTCCACCTTGAAGATCAAGACTGCAATCAGAGGGTCCTTGCATTGAAGGCCTGCTGAAATCCCAAATCGGTATACTGATTTCTGGAAGTAGTCACATGCCTTCACCCTTTTAACACAAAAATCCACCCCAGCCTGGCTCCAACTCTGGATCATGAGATAAAGCCATTCTGAACAGAGACCTCTTCAATAGAAGGAAAGTCACCCCTAAGCCTGGTGCACCCTTTCCCACCTCACTTATTGAATCCCAGATTTTAAATGCTGGGGAAACAGGCCCACCTTTTCATTTTACAGCCAAGGAGGCTGCAGCCAGAAGAGAAAAGCAGAAAGAACCCAAGAGGCAACAGCCCTGGTGGATAGATCCTGAGTCACTGATACCCAAGCCAGGGCCCTCCCCATCACCAGCTTCCCTCTCGCTTGCCTAGAAGCTCCACCAAAGCCCTTAAATCAGACGCACACACACACACATACACACACACACACACACACATACACACACACACACACACATATATATATATATATACACATACATTACACACGCATACGTGTAAACGCACCCTCTTGGATAATTTCTTCAGTAAGATTTTTCAAAACAAGTTTTTCATTTAATCGATTCCCATTTTGTAAGCAATGTTTCTCACTGAGTCTGTTTTCTCTCTGGAAAAGAACTCGGGTAGAAGCTGTCAGAAAGGCCAACGCTACCAAGGTCAGGAGTCCTCCAACCCACACACTCTTACAGTGTGCACCAACTCATCAGGATGGGGAACTCACTACCTCCCCCTCAGGTAGGGAGATGGTACCCCAGGCCTGGGACGTCGCAGCAGCCCACAGGAAACCCCGCGCCTCCCCTGCTGCACAGGTCCTTAACCCTCAGATCCTCTGATGTCGGGGAGATCCAGGACCATCCAGCAGAACCTGGGGGCTGCTCTGGGATCACCGCACGTCGCTTCTGAGCTCCAAGGAAGGGGAGGTGCGCAACCTAGGCGCAGCGGGGGAAGGCGAGAGTGTGCGCGGCCCCGCGGCCGTGAGAGGCTGGAGGGCCCCGGGGCCCAATTTCCCCTTACCACAGAGCAGCAGCAGCAGCGGGAAAAGATGCAGCCGCAGCGCTCGCTTCTCCATGGCCAGCGGGACTCCGGACGGCTTGTCCGGGTCTGGGCTCAGTGGAGCGCAAAGGGGTGCGGGGCGGGGCCGCGGGAGCCCACTCCCTCAGGCCACTCCCACAGTCGCGCCCCCAGTCTTCGCCCTGGCCACGCCCCGCTCACGCCTGAAGGAGGAGGTGCAGCCCAAAATGCGCAAAGCACGATCCCTCCGACTGAGGGGCGGGGGAAGGCGAGTGCTCTGGATTCTGGGCTGGAGTCAGAACCAAAGTGAGAACCGGGTGTGGGATTGGACAGGGAAGGAGGAGGTGAAGAAAGGCTGCAATTCAGACCGGGGGCCCTGCAAAGTGGGGACAGACTTCGGGGACAGCCTGGGCAAAGGGTTGGGGTGAAGATGGGATGAGGATGGAGTGTGGACTGATGGAGAATTGGGGGACAGGCTGGTGGGGTCAGACTGGGAAACCACCAGGGGTAGACTTGGGAGGACCTGGAGTGCAGCCTGGCAAAGAGGAGGACAGAATCCTGGGTGGGAACTTGGTAGGGAAGAGCGTTTGTGCAGAGACAGATTGGGAAGTCAAGTCTCCAAGGAACAGGAAAGGGTATGAAGAAGGTTGCTATGCGACTGGGATTGGGGAGGGGGAATGACACATGTGAGCTTTCGAGCCTGAGGCAGTGTGTGAATTTGTGTGCACATGTGAGACTGTGTATAAGGGGGAGTGAGTGTGTGTGGCAGGAGCACACACAAATGGTTAAGCCAGGAATAAACTTGGGGGTATTTCAGCAACTGGCACCCACAAAGTCCTGGCCCTCTCAAGAGCATCAGGGACCCTGAGGACGGGGAGGACCTTTTCCTCTAGCCACAGGTCATTTAGTCATAGGATGGGTCACCTCTGTTACCCTCAGCCCCTACTCTGCACTCTTTTTCCCATGTGGACTTGGGAATGGTCATCTCTCCCACACACAGCTGTGCTGGGTCAGCTCTGCCTCCCCAGGCTAGGTGGGGCAGGGCCCCATTTCTGCCATCTTGTGTTCTTTAGGCTCCTCTCTAACCTATCATAATCCATAATTCTTTATACCAAAGTTCCTTATCCAAATGACTATGTGGTGTCTCTCTTGATCAAACCGTAACTAATACACTACTGTATGTATTCTGAAATTCTTAAATTGTTTTAAACGAAGTTTTCATTGACAATCAAGTAGACTCTAAATGAGGACCTTGTGATCAAATAACATGGTACTTCTACCAAATGAGAGAGACGCATGGCATCTCAGCCTGTATTATTTCTGGATAATACACTTCTGCTGTATGCCCACTTGTCCCTGCTGCAACAGCCAGTTGAGGACTCCAACCTTTTGCTTATTCTGGGTATTAGAATTTAAGAGGATTTGGCTTGATGTTGACTAGAGGAACTATTCCCAGATGCTTGGCTCCCTCTGCTGGAAAGACTTTTAAATGACAGTGCCTCCTCTATCTCCATTATGAGGTGCCTGTGTCCCTCAGATGGTACACAGCAGAGGTCCTGTCTCCAAAGAAGGGGTGATAGGGGAAGATTTTGGGAGAAGTACCGTTGGCCCCCAGATGTTTCTCACTTGCTCCCAATTTAATACATAATTTTCCATCATATATATATATATATATATATATATGTGTGTGTGTGTGTGTGTGTGTGTGTGTGTGTGTGTGTATACACTTTTTTCCCCTCAGTACTGGGAATGAACCCAGGGCTTCCCACATACTAAGCAAGCACTCTACCACTGAACTACATTCCCATTCATTTTTTTAAATTTTTATTTTGAAACAGAGTCTCCACTGAGTTCCCCAGGCTAACCTTAAATTTGCCATCTTCTTGCCTCATTCTCCCAAAGAGCATGCACCACCATGCCCAGCTACATTTTAATTTTTAATTGACATATAGTAATTGTGCATGTTTATGGGGTACATTGTAGTATTTCAATACATGTATGTAATGTGCAATAATCAAAGCATGGTAATTGGAGTCTCTGTCACCTAAGACATATATCATTTCTTTGTGTTGGGAACATTCAAAACTCTCTTTACTATGGTTGTTGTCAACCATAGTTATCCTCCTGTGCCAAAGAACATTAGAAGTTAGTCCTCCTATGCAACTGCACCCCTATACTTGTTAACTCTCCTCTTTCAATCTCTTCCTGCCCAGCATCTTTCCCAGACTCTTGTAATCATTGCTCTTTTCTCTACTTTGAGGTCAACTTTTTAACTTCTACCTTTCTATGCCTAACATATTTCACTTAGCATAATATCCTTCAGTTCCATCCATTTTGCTACAAATGATAGAATTTTATGGTTAAATAATATTTCATTGTGTATGTATTTCACATTTTCTTTATACATTCATACATCCATGTACAATTAGATTGATTCCATATCTTGACTACTGCAAATAGTGCTGCAACAAACATTATGAGCATAGATGTCTCTTCAACACAGTGATTTTAATTAATTCCTTTTGGACATATCCTCAGTAAAGGGATTGCTAGATCATACGGTAGTTCTATTTTTAGTTTTAGGGGACCTCCATTTTTTTTCATAATGATTGTACTAATTTCCATTTCATCAACAGTGCCCAAGAGTTCCCCTTTCTCTGCATCCTCACCAGGACTTTTTATTTTTCATCTTTTTGATTATAGTTATTCTGATTGGAATGAGACAATATCTCATTGTGGTTTTGATCTRCGTTTTACTGAAGATTAGTGGTGTTGAGCATTTTTTCACCTACTTATTGGCCGTTTGTATATCTTCTTTTGAGAAATGTGTATGTAGGTCATTAGCCTGCTTTTGACTGGATTATTTACTTTTTGATTTTGATTTATTTAAGTACCTTAAATGTCTGCAAATTAATCCCTTATCAGATGAATAGTTTGCAAACATTTTTTTCTATTCTGTAGGTTGTCTCTTCACTCTACTGTTTCCTTTGCTCTATAGAAGTTTTTTAGTTTGATGTAATCTATTTTTTTAATATTTTCCCTTTGTTGTTGATAGATATTTATTTTATTTATTTATACATGGTGCTGAGACTCAAACCCATCTCACACATGCAAGGTAAGTGCACTACCACTGAGCCACAGTCCCAGCCCTTGATGTAATCTCTTCTGGTGCTTTTTGTTTCCTGTGCTTTTGGAGTCATAGCCAAAAAATAATTTGCCCAATGTCCAGAGCATTTTCCCCTATATTTGTTCTATATAGTTTCATAGTTTCAGTTCTTAAATTTAAGTTTTCCATCTATTTTTAGTTGATTTTTATATATGAGAGATAAAGATCTAGTTTCTTTCTTCTGCATATAGAAATCTAGTTTTCCCAGCACTATTTACTTGAGAAGATTGACTTTTCTATAGTCTTGCTGCCTTTGTTGAAAATCAGTTGGCTGTAATTAAGCGGATTTATTTCTGGGTTCTCAATTCTATTCTATTGGTCTGTGTGTCTGTTTTTGTGCCAGTGCCTTGCTGTTTTGCTTACTACCACTTTATTATATGTTTGAAAGCCGGGTATTGTAGTGCCTCCAACTTTGTATTTAGGGACTTTTGTAGTTTTTTACAAATATTAAGAGTGTTTTTCTATTTCTGTAAAGAATGTTTTTGGTATTTAATAGGAATTGCATTGAGTTTGTAGACCACTTTTGTACTATAGACATTTTTAAAATATTTCTTCCATTCCATGAACATTGAACATTTTGAGTGTGTGTGTGTCTTCTTCAATTCCTTTCATTCATGTTTTGTAATTGTCATTCATTTTCTTGGTTAAATTTATTCCCAGGTATTTTTTGGAGATATCATGAGTTGGTTTAATTGCATGATTTCTTTCTCAGAAAGTTTGTAATTGATATATAAAAATGTTTCTGATTTCTCTATATTAGTTTTGTATCCTGCAACCCTAATGAATTCATCTTAACATTTTTCTGTGCATAAATTCGTGTCATTTGCAAATAGGAATAATTTGACTTCCTCCTAAAGAGTAGTTTGACTACTCTTTATTTCTTTCTCTTGTCTCATTGCTCTGGCTAAAACTTCCAATATTATATTGAATAAGAGTGGTGAAAGTGGACAACCTTGTTTTGTCCCTTATCTTAAAGAAAGTTATTTCAAGGCTGGAGTTGTGGCTCAGAGGGAAAGTGCTCACCTGGCATGCGTGAGGCACTGGGTTCAATCCTCAGCACCACATAAAAATAAAATAAAATAAAGAAGGTATTGTGTCCACCTACAACTAAGAAATATTTTTTTAAAAGAAAAGAAAATGATATCTTTCCATTCCGTGTGATATAGGCTATGGGTCATCAAATGTATCCCTTATTGTGTTGTGGTATATTTCTTCTATAACTGATTTCTCAAGGTTTTTTAGCATGAAGCAGTGTTGAATATTAGTAAATGCCTTTTCTGCATCTTTTGAAGTGATCCTATGGTTTTGATCTTTTGTTCTGTTGATGTGATATATGTGTCTATATTCTACTTGATCCTGGTATATAATATTTTCAATGTGCTATTGAATTCAATTTTTTAGTATCTTGTTAAGAATTTTTGCATCTACATTCATCAGGGATACTGGTCTGTAGTTTTTTTGTTTTTTTTTTTGTGTGTGTGTGTGTGTAGTTGTTGTGCCTTTGTCTGGTTTTACTATCCAGGTAATACTGGCCTCATAAAATAATTTTAGAAAGGTTCCCTCCTTTTCAATATTTGGAAATAGTTTGAGAATAAAATGGTATTAGTTCTTCTTTAAAAGTCTGGTAAAATTCAGCAGTGAAACCATCCAATCCTAGGCTCTGCTTTGTTAGGAGACTTTCTTCTACTGAGTCAATCTCATTACTTGGGATTGATCTGTCCAGGTTTTCTGATATCATGCTTCAATTTTAGTAGGTTAGATGGGTTCATAAATTTACCCACTTCTAGGTTTTCTAATTTGGTGTATGGCTGTTCATGGTAGTTCATAGTAGTCCCTAATGATCTTTGGTTTGGTTTGTTTGGTTTGTGGTACTGGGAATTGAACTCAGGGGCATTCTACCTCTGAGCTACGTTTCCAGCCCTTCTTTTTTAAT